CCAGCGTTTGGATCACCCGAGAAGCCAAGCCCTAAGGCCCCAGCCATCTTTCGGACCCACAACCTCCTCTCCGACTTTGACGTGGCAATCGGTCCTCGGGCGTGTGCCTCACCTCTGAGGTCGATTAAAACCCCAAAAGCGGGCCTGCCCACATCTAGCCCCCTATGAACCGGGAGCTGGTACGTGTTGAGGATGGGCCAGCTGTCTATCTCGCTTCGGCGCACCCAAGAATGCCTCTATTTGGGTGCTTCTTGAAATAGAGGACCGCTACATACCGCCATTTCTTGGCCACACGACCCCAGCACGGCTCGACCCTTGTCCGTCTTCCTTCAAACGAATTCAGGTGTTCCCGGGCCACAACAACCTTTTCCTGCTTGATCTTCTTACTTCAGGGGTCACCTGGTTGTGTAACGATCTCTTCACCAAATCTAGAAGTCTTTCACGTTCGAAAAGTGCATGGTTGCGATCTTGATTCAAACCCACTACTCAAGTGGGTGACTGACTGTACACTTACCCCAATCATAACAGGATTGTCCCACTCACAACTCCCCTACACACTCACGAAACAGGTTCAGTCAGGGCAAAGCGGGGACCAGGGCCCGACCAAAACCCGGGCAATCAGTATCATTCAGAAGCCAGCCACCTTCTAGGGAGTTCGGGTGTTCCCTTGCCATGACAAAGGTCCCTGCAAACACCTACTTTCCTGTTGGTTCTCGTTTGAACAAATGACTCTGTGGTTTCTTCAGAAGGCGGCCCCTGCAAATAGGGGACCAATCAGTTTCAACGCGCTCACTCAAACGAGTCGTAAGGGTGTGTTTCTTTGAGGCTGCCCTTTTTGGCGCGGCTTTCAAATGGAAACCAAAAGGAGACCACCCATTTATTATCTAGACTCCATACCCGGTCGAGCATCCCCCTTTCAATCGGAGAGGCGAAATCACACCCTCCCGGTTCAAGAGCGGCTTCATGAAGTTCAGGTCGACCAGCCTGCGACGCCAATGGATCCATGTTGGACTCCCAGAGTTGGAACTGGTCAGCCGTATCGGGGAGCAGTGGAAAGAGCTTCAAGCCAAGCTTGAGACTTGGATGCCTGCTCTCGTTTCGGGGCAAAACTCGCGAAGGTATAGTGCCTACGCGACGCAAAAAAAGAGACTCGAAGACATTTACTTTCTTGTCCAAATACATTCTGAACCAACTGCCGGGGGCAATCCGCGTCAGGGATGAGACATCTCTCGCTCTGTCTGGTCGCTTCTGTTCGGCCAACGAGATGGCGACAAGTGGCCTGCCAGAGCACAGTACGTTCACCTCGGCCGTCTCTCATGTGTGTGTGTGTGTGGATGGATCAATATGAACATGGGCCTGTCCCCTCTCCTGTCGATTTCAAGCCTCCTTGTTTGGAGCTTGCTGAGTGGAGATATGTCTGTCTTGACCAGTGACTTCACACTGGACCTGCAAACAGTGTTCTCCAAAGGCCGAGGGTCAGATCCTGTGGGTGTATGAATCCAGGGAAAGCACATGCCGAAATCAAAACACTAGTCTTCAAACAACAACAAAAGTAGTTTGATCAAATTGTGCAACCAAACCTAGATGCTACATGATGCTGTGATGAATGGCCATGCGAGCTTAAGGTTGGCTATGACATTGGCCGCGAGGTGCCACGGCAAAACTCACAGGTTGCCCAAGAATCGACTCCAATTGCCAAGCAACTCATCACAGGCAAAGGTTCGAAGCCCAGAGAGTTGGTAGTTTGTCAAAACGACACCGGACTTTAGCAGGGAAAAGAGCAGCAGCTTCTGACACCATCCGACTGGAGGGGTTTTGGGTGTCCCACATTTGGGGACAGTGGTTGTATGAATAGAAAGCCAAAAGGAAACAAACCATCGCCGGTTTCAGAGGTTGAAAACATGGTGACTCCCCTTCTTCCCGCTTCACAGGGACACAGACTGCCACCGCAATGAAGGGGCTGAAGCCTTGGAGTCCAAAACTGAGCCCCCGGCGTCTGCATTGGCGATGCACTCCAAAGGGAGCCTGCGTAGGGTTGCACTGAACTGGATTGGGCTGGGCCCATCTTTGCCCTTTGAAATAGGTGCCGGAAGGAAGCAACCAAGAAGCTGTTGACACTGAGAAAATTAAGGATCTCCGCAGACTTCCCAACTGATCACATTTCATGGACATATATGCATGTTACATGTGTATAGCATTAAAATGCAGAACAGGAGCAACATGCACATCGAAAACGAATGAGCAGGCAAAAGAACAACACTTCCGAGCTACCCCCACCAACCTGAGGACCGGCTTGGTCACAGCTGTCATAGTTGCAATGGTGGGAAGGCATTGAGAATGGACTTTTTAAAGTCACGGCACATGTCACTTAAGCATCTACAAATTCAAAACCTGTTGGCTGAGAAACGGCACAGAACAAGAGCAAGACATTTCTGTGTACACCTGGCCATGGGGCCGAAAGATGTCCCTTCCACAAGTTCAAAAAACAGGGGCGCTTAAGACATTCGCACCATTCCCTTCCCGCTTCGTTGCAGAAGGTCGCGCAGGGATGCCCACGCTGCAGAAGAGAGCCCTGGCACGCGGCCACAATCAAAGTGAGCAACTCCCTTTGTCAACGGGTCCTTCGGTACCTCACATTTTCGGATTTGAGAATCTGTAGTGACCAATCGATTCTAGTTACCATACCCCAACCACATTGACAATCATTCAAATCCGTCGGGTCTGCACAACTGCGAGATTGAGGCCCACAGCATAGACAGGGCACAAGTTCTCCAGTCGCTCGCTCGCGCGCGACAATTGCAAGTGAAAGGCCTGATTGCGGCACGGTCTTTCCCAAGGAACCCTTCCATCTGGTAGAAAGATAAACGCCATGGAGAAAAGGACGTGCCGGTCTTGCGGACTTGTAGTGTCCCGTACTAGTTGCTGCTATAGGTTTCCTCGAAACAAGAAGCCTAACAGCACCAGCAGCAATCGCAACGCTGGACTCACCCAAAACCCGCAGCAAGCATCCAATGAAGATCAAATCGCCTTCAAGGAACAAACCCGACCAAGTAATGTTTTTGTGGCTTTCCAGTGCAGAGTCAACATCTAAGCCAAAAGGTCTCTGCATTTCTCCGAAAAGGAAGGCCAAAAGGTAAGACCTGCATACATGCCGGAGTGGCTCTTCGATCAAGCATACCTGGCACGAGCTGCTGGCCACTACAAGAGGATGTCTACTGCCGCCAAACCACTGGACCGGTCTGAAAACGTGGTGTGGAAGCTTTCCATAATTACTAAACGATGGTTGTATTGCCCGTCGTCCCGTGGCGGTAGTGGGTTTGGGAGGTTGGAGCGGTTGAAATCTCGTGCGCGAACTCTCTCTCGCTCACATAGAAAACGTACGCACAATAACAGACTGACCAGCAGCAGCGCAAGTCTTTATCTTGGCTATTTCGCGCCAACTTGATACCAGTCATGCTGGGCTGAACCACCTCACTCGCCTTGCTTTCTTGATTTCCTCCTTCAGCAACCTTTCTCCGGGTCAAAGGAATGCAAGACTCCAATCAGGCAGGCAGCGCCCCCCAGGTTCTCCGATTCGTGGAGTACACGGGGCCACCACCTTGAGAGCCAACACTCCGAAGATTCGCGGGTACTTTGGACCCCAAGCCCATTCATTTGGACCCTCGAAGATGTGTGTGCCCTGTCAGGGGTCTCTCTTTTGGATTGATCAATGACAACTCAGAGGGAGTTTCATCAGCTTCGCAGTGCTTCCAAGGGAAAGTCAATTTCAATCCGCCGATCAGGTCGGATCTAAGTGGAGTCCAGTTGAAACCAGCTGAAAGAGTCAGCCACCTACTTTTCAATTTCGGGGGTGAGGGATGGCGAGGGGAATTGCGCCGATTCTCCGAGGGCTGCGCCCATGCGCGCATTCACCTGGCAAGCGCAGCTGGTAAGGGCTGGCTGGTGTGGGCTGCAGTGTGGAGGTAGCTAGGGCATGCCTTCGTGGGTCAAGCAGCGACTGGAGTTTCCAAGACGCTGGACCATGCCATGACGTGTCACAGCACCCCCAACTTGGAGACTCGAGACTCCGGGTACAAAAAGTCCAAAGGCTGATAATTGCAAACCATCCCCATTGTTGAGCGGCACAACAACACTATGACCCTTGGTGGTCTCTGGAAATTAGTTCGTGACAACGCAAGGATAAGCCTTCAACAAACTGCAAACCACATATTTCATTTGAATCTAAACCAAACAGAAACACGTATGGATCCATGCGCAGGATGGACCCTTGATCACACAGAGGCACAAAAGGACCCTATTAAGGTTCAGCTTGTTTGGAGCCCCAATCGTTTGCAACCAATCGGCAACAGACCCTCGGGGCCCCATCCGCCTCAATAAGTTGGGCGCCGTGCTGGGTCGTGTACTTCAGCTCCACATGGAAGATGCCATCCTGTGCAGGCTAAAACGCTGAGGAGGGGAACAACTAACTGAAGCGGCCACCACACTACACTAGAGACGCGCATAGACAGGTAAACCTTGGGGAATCATTGCACACGTGCTTGGGAAAACTTGCTTGTCTGACACATCTTGCTTTCGACCATGTAGATTACCACATATAAAGTTGCTTTTTTGGAAACAGCGTCTGCGCAATTGCAAAAAAGTGCGCCTTCGCAAGAAGGAATGGCCTTAGAGATCATTCTTGCCAATGGCTCTCAAACTCAGCTGGAACAAGCTGGAAGTTTCAAACAGCATGTCACGTGCTCTGCGAAAGCGTCTGGCGTTGATCACAACGTGCAGCTCTCAACAACCCAGGCTAGAAACATCCCATGAGTCTGGACTCTTTTCGAAGAGAAATGTGCTTGCAACCATTGTATTGTTTGCTTCCGTTGTTTGTCCAACCCTTTGTTGGTTTCTAAAAAGTGTGCCATTGATGGTTGGATGGAAATGGTCAAATGCAGAAAGCGAGGCTTTGAGCATGCAAAGAAATATTTACACACACACGTCTACTGCACATGTATGTCTTTTTCTCCATACCGATCTCCGCGGGCATATGCTGGTTCCTACCGATCTCCGCGTCGTGTTCGGCTTACTTGAGCTTCTTCTTGGGGCGGAGCTGGTTGGAGTGCCCGCACTTCTTCTTGCGGCAGTTCACGGCCCGGGCGTGCAGCCGCGCGTAGCACTTGCGGCAGATCATCTTCTCGCAGTTGAACTTGCGGGCCAGCACGGCCAGGGAGGGCTCGATGACGCCACCGCGCAGGCGAAGCACCAGGTGGAGGGTGGACTCCTTCTGGATGTTGTAGTCGCTCAAGGTGCGGCCATCCTCCAGCTGCTTGCCCGCGAAGATCAGGCGCTGCTGATCAGGTGGAATGCCCTCCTTGTCCTGGGTCAGACTCAAGCTAGACTTTGTATTGGTTGAACGGCAAGATGAAGGAAACGAAAAAAGGCAAAAAGTTAGAATGGTAAGCTAAGTCCGGCAATGTGTCCTGGATCTTGGCCTTGACATTGTCGATGGTGTCTGAAGCCTCCACATCCAAGGTGATGGTCTTGCCGGTCAGCGTTTTCACAAAGATCTGCATGGCTATTTAGCCGCCCTGCCAGGCTTCTCGGCAAATGTGGTTGGAGCCAAAATGCCTACGCAATGTGTGCGTATGTGTGTCCATGTGCTGCTGTACAGGTACACGCAACCACGCACTCGGGACATCTGAGTGTGCACATGTATGCACATACAATGTGCGTATACTTATGCATAACAAGTTTAAGTAGCAATATGTATCAATATATTTGCATGTGTATATATATATATATATGTATCTATATATTATTATTATACATCATATATCATGTGCGCTCGCATGTGCCCGAATGTTCAATCGCTTGTGATGTCTTTTCACGCCAATCCCGGGCGTTGCACCCGCCAAACCGCCGGCGCGCCTGGAAGCCCAATGCCTCACGCGGAAGGGCAGAGCTTGAGAAACGGGTTGGGATGTTGTCTTGAGTTATCGAATGGCAAAGGGGGGGTTACCTTTTTTGTGACACCTCGAGGTCGAACATTCAGCCAGACCCGCTCTACAAGTGCTGAACCTTTGAATCCTCAGAATCCCGAGGGAGTTCAAAGTTGAATGCGGAATGCGTTCCAGAAAACAACCCGCGTGACTTGCTCGCAAGGTGCTGAAGGAGTCGTGGAATTATATACCGAAGAATTTCACCTCTGACCGTTCGGTCGGGTTCTTGGCCCAATTGAACCGTCCATTGTGGCTTATGGACTGGTGATTGGACTCAAGATGACTTTTCTTGTTAAGCACATGCGCAACTCGGCGGGCACAAATGAGAACGCCTTTGGACAGGTTTGGATATGCAGCATGCAGCCATTTCTGATGGCTGCTCAAGAGAAAATCAGCTGTTTTTGTCCAGGTCTCTGATTGCCAGTGGTTAGACCCCTCAAGTTCCTGAAGCAGGAAGCGGTTGGAAGAGCAGGTCCACCCTTTCTCAAATACCATCGTCACCCGACCGCTTCGCTTAGACGTGGGTCGAAAGCCGCCAAAGAGTTCGCTGAGTGGTGATACGTTTGTGCTGCGTGTTGTCCGGCTGCAAAACTGTGAACAAACGCATATGTGTTCCAAATATGGTTTCAACCAAAGAAAACCCGAGTCGATTGATTCGCTTTGGAGTTCCAAGGCGAGTACCAAAAACAACATTTCTGCTCTCCCGCTAACGTGAAACCCACCAGAAGGTCTGCTAAGGATGAAGTTGGTTTTCCCGGCAGCGGGTAGTTCGGAAGAACTTGAGTTGGATGCATCTTAGTAGGAACTTAGTGGGACTTTGTGCCAGCTGCAGTTGAAGTTCGAGGGAGCAACCATTCGGCAACTAGCAAACAAGCTCCCAAAGCGCACAAGGGACACCCGGTGTTCATCTCGGGTTTTGTGGAACATGTTTGAAACCAATACCCCAAATGTAAATCTAACGAAAAACAATAGACTACCTAGCCTAGAATTGTCTGTTCTCATGTGAGCCAAAAGCCACACTCGTTGGCACAATTGCATCAAATATCCATCAACAAATAAACCTTCAACATCCCCTTTGCAATGCATAACGATCTGCTTTTGCAGGAGTGTCGCAAGTCCTTCTTACGAAGAGCCGAGCCTTCACTGCGCTCACTGCCATCTCTCGCAGCTCGACCTGCTTCTTTCGAGGCCTCCGGAAGCGGCTTGATGCACACAGAGAAGACGTCTCCAAATGGCCTATGGAATCTGAAAATCCGCAAAGGCTGATTACCCTGAAGCAGAAACACAGGGCATGTGCGGGCAAACCTTTCCCAATTGCTGGGTGTCTGGGACTATGCTGGATCATGGTTCTGAAAAGGTGTTGCTTACAGTCCTGGCTGCTCAAATTTGAGATCTAAGTATAAGCACCACGATTCACAAACCCAAACTGAGGGCTCCCTACAAAAGAAACCTTCGGCAGGTCTGTGGTCGTAAACCCCGTGGTGAGCCCCCGGCGAAAATATGACCAAATCGAAGGAAGGCGCTTGTTTGGTGCGAGGCCAGGCGCGGTGCGATGCGAAGGGTCGATGCACGCCCAAGATCCTACGCAAGAGAGAGCCTCGGCATTCATTTGTCCCAGCTGCAAAGGAAACCCTCTCCAATGCCTGAAGCTGATTCCTTCGCATGCCACTGCAACAGCCTGGAGGTTGAGAGGGATTCATAAACTGGCAACAAAAAGTGATCGACTCGTTTCTGGATCCGTCTCAGCGTGCCCACCCACCCACCCACCCACCCACCCACCCAGCCACCCAGCCACCTACAACCCAACCAAACCAACCAACCAACACTGCCAACACCGCCAAAACCGCCAACACCGCCAACACCAAACACAAACACAAACACCAACACCAACAGCGATACCACCACCAACACCAACAGCAATACCACCACCACCACCACCACCACCACCACCACCACCACCACTACCACCAAAACCACCCCCACCCCACCCCCACCACCACCACCACCACCACCACCACCACCACCACCACCAAACAACAACAACAACAACAACAACAACAACAACAACAACAACAACAACAACAACAACAACAACAACAGCAACACCAACAACGACAATGACAACGACAACATCAACGACAACGACAACGACAACGACAACAACAGCACCAACAACAGCACCAACAGCACCAACAACACCAACAACACCAACAACACCAACACCGCAACCACAACCACAACCACAACCAACAACCACAACAACCACAACAACCACAACAACAACAAACACAACAACCACAACAACCACAACAACGACAAACACAACAACCACAACAACCACGACAACCACAACAACCACAACAACCACAACAACCACAGCAACCGCAACAACAACAACCACAACAACAACAACAACAACAACAACAGTAGCAGCACCACCACCAACACCAACACCAACACCACCGCCACCGCCACGACCACCACCACCACCAACAACCAACAACAACCACAACAACAACACCAACACCAACACCGACACCGACAACAACAACAACAACCACCACCACAAACAACCACAACAACCACAACAACCACAACAACCACAACAACCACAACAACCACAACAACCACAACAACCACAACAACCACAACAACCACAACACCAACACCAACACCAACAACAACAACAACAACAACAACAACAGCAGCAGCAGCAGCAACAACAACAACAACAACACCAACAACACCAACAACACCAACACCACCACCGCAACCACAACCACAACGAACAACCACAACAACCACAACAACCACAACAACCACAACAACCACAACAAACACAACAAACGCAACAACCACAACACCAACATCAACACCAACAACAACAAAAACCACAACAACAACAACAACAACAGCAGCAGCAGCAGCAGCAGGAGCAGCAAACAACAAACAACAAACAACAAACAACAAGCAACAAGCAACAAGCAACAAGCAAAACACAACAAGCAACAAGCAACAAGCAACAAACAACAACAAACAACAGACTACAGACAACAGACAACATACAACAGACAACAGACAACAGCAACAGCAACAACAACAACCACAACCACAACCACAACAAACAACAAACAACAAACAACAAAAAACAAACAACAAACAATCAAAACAACAAAACAACAAAAACAACAAAAACAACAAACAACAACAAAAAACGACAAAAACAACAACAACAACAACCACAACAACCACAACAAGAACAACAACAACCACAACAACAGCGGCAGCAACAACAACAACCACAACAACAACAGCAGCAGCAGCAGCAACAACAACAACAGTAGCACCGCCAAAACAACAACAACAACAACAGTAGAACGACCACCACAACAACAACAACAAAAGTACCACCACCACAACAACAACAACAGTAGCACCACCACAACAACAACAACAACAACAACAGTAGCAGCACCACAACAACAACCACAACAACAACAACAGTAGCACAACAACAACAACCACAACAACAACAGCAGCAGCAACAACAACAACAACAACAACAGTAGCACCACCACAACAACAACAACAACGGTAGCACCACCACAACAACAACAAGTAGCAGCACCACCACAACAACAACAACACCAACAACAACAACAGTAGCACCACCACAACAACAACAACAGTAGCAGCACCACCACAACACCAACAACAACAACAGTAGCACCACCACAACAACAGTAGCAGCACCACCACAACAACAACAACAACAGTAGCACCACCACAACAACAACAGTAGCACCACCACAACAACAACGACAACAACAACAGTAGCACCAAAACAACAACAACAAAAACAACAACAACAAGAGCAGCAGCAGCAACAACAACAACAACAGTGGCACCACCACAACAACAACAACAACAGTAAGCACAAACACCACAACAACAACAACAGTAGCACAAACACCACAACAACAACAACAACACCAGTAGCAGCACCACCACGACAACAACAACAACAGTAGCAGCACCACCACCACCACAACAACAACAACAGTAGCAGCACCAGCACAACAACAACAACAACAGTAGCAGCGCCACCACACCAACAACAACAATAGCAGCAGCACCACAACAACAACAACAACAACAACAACAACAACAGTAGCAGCACCACCACAACAACAACAAC